GGTGAAATTGACTTTAGTCATCCGCCTCGTTTCTTGCATCGGATTGGTCAGTTTTGGGTGGTGTCGCCAAGGATAGAAGTGGGTGGCTAGTGTAAACTTTGATTGTCTCGTGTGAAACTTATCGCTAGATTCGCAATCTCTTCTTAGAACTATATCAAGAAAGATCGTCGTCCGTTACGAATCCACGGTATTGGATGACGATAAACAGATTCCTCTTCGAGTTTCAAAGGTGTAATCTATGATTTCTAAACTTCCGCAGCAACTTGATATCTAGTCTTTGTTCAATTAGCATCGGTCACCGGTGTTGGGTTTTATCTCCAAGGATATGGAGTTACTACTATGAATTGATTCAATTATTTATTCGTCTATCGAAAGAGGAATCTATTGCGATCTTTTGTTTTGAACGGATCGTGGTCTCTATGTCTGGAATTTCATCGCCCTCAATCCCGTGGTTGATATTTAGATCCATGGTGAAAAATAAGGGGTAGATTACTCTTTGATTACTCTCTCTATAAACAGTCCGAGACTGTTATTAACTACTTATATTTCATAAATAATATCCGAGTGACGATCGATCTTCCACGAAAGAAAAGAATCGTGGAGTCTACAGGACGTAACACCGCGTTATTCATCAATTTGTAAAGATTCTTCTCGAATTCGTTATTCACGAGCGTTCTGAATCTAGTATTAAGTTCGATGTATCCGCGAAGCCATGGGGATTGTGCAAATTGTAATATTTGATGAATTTTTTTCACGTATAATTCGTGCTGAATGCATTGTTGTAAATTACGATAGTATGTGACGTAGCGCTCCTTATTGTAGAGTGTAGCCAACAGTTTATCATTTCGTTTCCGGGAGGCTGTTCGCGAGTGGGACAGAATGGAAGGTCAGCATGAGCGTCATGAACGCTTTGTGGATATACAAGGTCGACTTCTAGAATATAACCGATAATGGAGTCTGACGACAGACATTACGTCAAAGCGCTCGACGTCATCGATCCATTGAAATTCTCCGTACGGTAAGGATTCGAACATCGCCCAACCATACAAATTATTCACATCGAAGTACATGAGGTACGTCGAGAGTTCTGAAGGATCGTACGAAGGTGCATACTTGTTATTAGCTCGCGCATACCTATGCGAACATTGACTTAAACCACCGCGTATACTACGCTCCATAAACATCGCCATATCGATGTCAGTGAGGAATTCGAATCGAATACCGGTGTATTTCAACATAACGTCCCACGTGTATCCTGGTAAAGTGTAATAATACATCGGATCCAATCAGTAACTCTCAATACACGTATCACGAAAATTTTCGAAAACGTCCGCCAATAAAAGCACATCCGTCTTGAGATACAAATCGCTGTAATCACCGAGAGTCTCTATGCAAAAGCGTCGCCAAACGTTCGTCGCGTGTTGATAATCGTCATCGAAAACGACCTCGTCGGTTAACGAACTCGTAAAACGACTCGCGCGGCGGCAAACTAGTCTCGTCTAGCTTATCAACGCTGTCGACGTACTCGTACGGAAACACTCCTTTACGCGTAAGCAGATCAAAATCCTCGGTGTTAATATTGAGAAATTCCGACCGCGTGATTTTCAATTTACTCTTGTCGAGATACGATACCAATTTCTCGAGACTAGTACTGAGAAATTTAAACGAATCCATAAAACGCAATTTCACATGTCCGTTCCCCACTTGACTTTCTCCGTATCCTTGACATATTTCGTAAACGATATATAATTTTCTTTCTTTATCGATAACAAATACACGCTACCCTCAAAACTGTTAGCAATATCTTTTATGATAAAATGCGCGTCATAACCCGAGAAGCTATGAAAAAACACAGGAATAACGTACGAATCTTGATAATTTAAATTACAACGTGAATGCGCGGGACCTCTGTAACGTCCAGTTAAATGACAATGATCGCGTACGCGCAAATCTCTTTCTTCGAACGGTTTTTCACAGATGTAGCAATGAGTCGCGTCTCGAAATTTTTTTCACTCGTTCGATGTAAGCCCCGTCATAGTCACGTTCTTATCAAATATTGTTTTCGCGCGATGTGTCAAATCGTATAATTTATTGACAAATCATGATACGCAATCCTCACCGCAACGAGATCAGTATACAGACAGTTTCATCGTATACACAACGTATGTAATAGCCTACGCTGAAAACCCTGTGATGTTGATAGGTGAATCTCGAAATATTTTCATCGCTGGTCTTCTTCTCCAGTATACACTCCAAATCGGCGTAAATTACAAAGGGAAGTCGCTCCTTCTTGTTATAATTATGAAACGACAACCACTTGTCGTTCTCGTTCGGAAGAATAATAGCGCAATCGTTCGTCGTAGCACAGTCAACGACGTGAAGCGAGAACTTCTCGCTCGTAGGAAAATAATCTAGACATCTGTAAAGTAACAATTCATACACGTTACACTTTTTATCGCTTTGTATAAAAAAACACACTTAGTTATTCGTACCTACCTATCACACAAATACTTCTTTTTCGTATTCCTGCTCAACTGGGAATCAATCGTGATAGATTTTTAATCCATGTGAAATGACCGGTGACGTTTTCGCCGCGTCGCGAATCTTGCAGATACAACAGATTTACGTGTTTTTCTCTCTTGTCTTTGGTGAGACGAAGAGGAACGATTATGTTGTCATCATCTTTTTTTCCACCTCTCTTTCGTTCGGTAAATACGTTGATAGATATAACATTCAAACGTTCAAATTTCGTAATTTGTTTCAAAGTAACGGGAAACTCGATACCTTCGAGCAGCAACACTTCCGAATAATGTGGATACTGCGACGATCTGTACGTGTGACTATCGGTTAGATACAAAGCGGAAACTACCGCCCACGCGAAACACGCGTTATCCATTGAGTGAACATTAATTACTGCTCTCTTCATTTTTATGTACTGAGGTACATCCACCCAACATCCCGCATGCATAGGATTGTATTTATTTACATTTACAATTAAATTCAATATGCGTGATAGCGCCCATCCACTGTCGCGTTCCTGAAACTCCTCCAGAACTGTTAAAATATCATCTATCACGTGTTTATCGTACCACTCTGGCAGATCGGACGCAGCGAAAAGCTCGTAATTTTTCGTAGTGATACTTTTAACAGATCTCTTGAGATCCGCGAAAAACTCGCCGTTGAATATCGTATTCACTTTTAAGCAAACGTGTCTCTGAAGATTATCGCGTATCCGGTCGAAAACGGTGTCCCTCACGTCATCGAGAAATTATCGAGGCTCAATATAACTCGAATTTAACACCGCGCCAGTCAGTACGCGATTACTGAAAGCTGTTTCGATTTCCAACCATGAAAATTCTCTTTTTCAGTTCGACATGTTCCGAGCCCACGTGTTCAAAACGTTTTCGTAACGTATTTCTCAAACCTTCCAATCATATTATTCGAGCGATCGATGCATTTACAACTCCGGTAGATATTCGCCGACGTTTATCATTTCGACACCTCTCTTGCAAGAGGTCGAGACACTTGTCGCATTTTTGCACCCATACTTTATACACATCCGCCTTATCGATGCTCGTCGCACGATGAAAAAGATCCTCCACCTCCTCCTCCTCCATCTCTTTATATTAAATTACTGCTCTCGCTTACACATAAACTAGAATGGTTTCACCATAACTATCTAAAGGTACGTCTAATTTAATTTTCTTATATATATCTTTCGAACATGGCTATCATTACCATAGATTTTCCGTACACTCTTCAAAGTTTCACTCTCATACTTTCTCGCGCGACTATCGAGAGCTATTACGGTTTTCATCCACAAAATTTCTCGCGGACATTGATTTCCAATCGCTCTCCGTAAATGGTGTGTAGCTAAATTCCTAAAGAATGACTATTCTCCTTCACATAGGATGCAAACGATATGGGACTCGGTAACACACTCGTGACAATACAGATCATCGTCTGTATTTGGAAAATCGTAATGATACAGATCGCTGTCCGTACTTTCGTTCAGACTGTTATCGCTTGACATATCGTGCGTTCAAAAAACAATGCGTGAAGAACCTTACCCCGTACGCATTTATATATTGTTCAATCATCGGAAACGTAGTGAATAAAACTGTAACTCCGTCTTATCGTTTGTAAAGGAATACGCGTTTTGAAAAAATAAAAGGTGCGCACAAGAGAGAAATAGAAACTCATGACGCATCCTATAATATTCACAGGACGTGATATCTCTACATACATACACACGGGATAATGGAAAGAAAGCAATATTTTTATTATAAGTGTTTTTTTAATTGCACTACGAAATACATCGATTATAAGTTCGACGTTTTTTTTAAAAACGTGAAATAGTTCAAAAAAACATCTCAATAAAAAACTTACAAAATATCGAGTAAAAATAAAATTAATTGTCGATGTCGATTTATGACGTTATGTGACTGACAAATCCACGTTATTTGTTACTTGCTTTGAAATCGTGTTCACCGCTTAAATAGTTTTAATACATTCTCTAACGCGCAATGTTTACTGTGTCTTCCACAACGGAACGTATTAGTCGCATCTAAATTTTCAAGAGATTCAATGTCTTCGTAATGTATATCGATCACAACATCGTCACTGTTCAAAATGTCACTTAACCACTGCCGCTTTTCAAGTCCTTTCACATATACGATAGCTTCGTTCTCCCCTAGTACAGCTTCCGAAATCAAACGCTGCGCCATACGGTATAGTACCATGCCATCGTTCCATCGTAATCCATGATGATGTGACATCAACCACGAAGCGTACGACTGATCGGATTTCGTTAAGAAACGCCACGGGACCCGTAAAGATATAGTGCGTCAGAGTATTCCCATTTTTCAATACTGCTATTTCCTTAACAACGAATCGTTTGTCCACGACGAACCCTTAAAACATGCACAACGATTATGACGAGTTGCAAAAAAAAAAACGAACAAGAGAAAAAAATAATAAAAAATACCTTATAAATCGACGAATGTCGGCACCATAATGATGAGTGAGATGTGTCGTCGCAAACGAATACTAAAGAAATACCATAATCGTGCGGTGTGTCTTTTATATCATGTCCCCGTTGAGGATGTGTATCTCTACTTCTCTTAGGGCCGGTTGTTCCATCTTTCGGTAAATCTCGGCTTATTCGATAGATTATTACCTATAGGATAAATCTTATCCGGCAGTTTACCAACTACTTATACATGAGCGTTGTTCCACGACTATTTATCCTACTGATAGTTACCTGTTGGTTAAGAGCGATATATCGCGATATTTATTTCCGGAAACGTTTGGCAGCAACTTCAAGTGGGTGCAAACTAACCTATCACTGAATTTACTTGGCTGCGTTCAGCGGCCAATGTATTGATATGTGTTTACCTTCGACAATCTTAATCTTTATTTTCTGGTAAGCTGTTTTTTTTTATTCGCATATACAACATCTTTATAAAAGTAGAATATAAGTAAGATATGTATCACAATTATGTATCTAAAATAAATAAATGTATTACAAAATATAGTATCTAATATATTTTAATAATTTATGTTAAAGAGATGACCGAAAAAAAAAAGAGAGAGAGAGGTTCCAATTTCTCTAACAAAGAAGTTGAGATATTGGTTTCAATAATTCAAGAGTTTAAAAATATAATAGAGTGCAAAAAAACAGATGCCACAACTTGGCGAGATAAAGATGCTGCATGGGAAAATGTAGCGAAGGCATTTAATTCCAGTTCTGGTGAAGTTTTTCGATTGAAAAAAGCATTAAAAGCAAAATATGAAGATATTAAGAAAAACGTTAAGAAGAAATTAGCACATAATAGATTAGAAACCTTCAAGACTGGTGGAGGTGAACCACAAATTCGTTCCTTAACTGGTATCGAAGAAAATATTATTTCGATGCTACCATCATCTATAGAAGGTTTACCATCTGTGTGGGATAGCGATCAACTAGGTATATATCATTTTATAAGAGTTATATAGATATATATATATATATTATATATTTTGTATAATTAAAAATATTTTATGGGATTTTAACAGAAACGAGCCAAAAAGATGCAATAAATGTAGGTATACAGCAACATTCTACGAATGCAAACGACACTATACAGGTGGATGATACTCATGTGAAGATGGTACGTATATTGTAAATATATTGATACGCATATTTTGATGCAATAATAAAATAATGAAAAGCATATTCTTTATTTAACAGATTAGTCCTACAGGATCAGTTGATGAACAATTTCATATGGAATTCTTAATCACTTCTGATAAAGAAAATAATGAAGAAAATGAGAATAAGTCTGACAACCAAGATTGTAATCAAGGAACTGAGAAGAAAAGATACGAGACTGGTGTTTCTATGTTGAAAAAGAAAATAACACCAGAGTTACGCACTGGCAAAAGGTTGAAAAAATTGCATCAGCCACTTGGCATGCATGAAACCTCAGGACGAGACCGAGAAATGAAAGAAGAACTTCATCAACTAAGAATAAACATATTGAAAAAAGAACTAGAAATTAAAGAAAAACAATTTTTCGCAGAAATCGAGATAAATACAGAACGATTAAAAACTGCTAAAGTTGAAGGCGAAATGAGGGTTTTGCAAAAACAAATAAAGGAAGCTAAATTAAAAAAACTACATTGTGATTAATTAATATATAAAGTTCCTTTCTTTAATTTCCAGTTCTTTCTTTATTATATATTAATATGATACACTATTTATTACAATAGAACAGAATTTTATATATTTCTTCATACAGCATATAAAAGATGTGCTACTATATATTAAACATTACATAATATTATAAGAGTTATAAATGTTACAAATGTAAAAAATTTAGGTTACGTTACGATAAATATGGCTATATGAAAATAAATATTTTTTTTACCATATTTATATTACTTAAATATTACAAGAGATATAAATGTTACATATGGTTTATATAAGAGTTATAAATGGTTTATGTTACTAGTTTATGTTACTAGAAAAATATGGTTTTATAAATAAAGTTTTATTGTTTCCAATTCTAAATAGTGTTGTATAATTTTTCATTTCTGATGTCAGAATATATTAACCAGTTGTACATTTCAACGAACAAGACTGCAAAGAAAAATTTAGTTAAAAAGAAATATTTTTCCAACTTATGCAGAAAAAAATATTACCCTGCAAAATATATATCAATTAATGAACGTCGTTCATTTGCATTATTAATGCCATTATTATATTGTACTTCTTGGACTTCCAATTCCTCAATTGCAGCTTCGACTTCAAAATCGATTACTGGATCAGGTTCTCCCATGTTTCGTGCAATATTGTGCAGTACTGCAGTAGCTACTATTACAGCTTGTGCAGTTAAAGGATGAAGTCTTAAACCAAATGCCAGTGCAGCAAATCTTCGTTTCCATACTCCAATACATCTTTCAATGACATTTCGTGTTCGTATTTGAGATTCATTATATAATTCTTCAGCTCGATTATGAGTTTCAAGCAGTGGTGTAAATAAAAAGTTTGAGCAAGCATAACCACTGTCACCAAGTAATAGTGCATTTCCTATTTCACCATTAATAAATCTTGCACGTACTCTGCTAGCATTAAAGATTGTAGCGTCATGGGTTGAACCAGGCCACCGTGCTACAATGTCTAAAAATTTTAAAGTACCATCACAAATAACCTGTACATTTATAGTAAATATCCCTTTTCTGTTCCTATATACTTCAGCTTCTTCTCCACCTATGTGTGTAAATATAAATAAGATGTAAATACTATAAATTTATCAATCATTTTCAATTTAATACCTGGCGACAGTATTTTGATGTGAGTACCATCAATTGCCCCTACGACTCTGGGGAAACAAGCAATATTGTAAAATTTTTCTTTTGTTTGCCTTAGACTCTGATTCGTATTAGGAAAGTTAATATATTGTGGCCGTAAAGATGCTATTGCTGTTGTAACCTTTTTTATAATCCTGCACATTGTGGATTTGTGAATACCACCAAAATCAGCAATTGTGTCTTGGAAGGTTCCAGTTGCATAGAATCGTAATGTAAGTAATAATTGGTGTAGTGGTGACACAGCATGATTTCTTTAATAAAAATGTATGTATATTATAAATAACCTAAAAATAAAAAATATATTTAATATTTACCTGTCAGTCCTGCTTCTTATTGTTTCTTCAATAAGATTTAAAATCATCTGAACAGTGCGTTTGTGAAGTCGAAATCGTCTAACAAATTCTATGTTATCATATTCATTAAATAAATCTGGACGTGGACGAACTGTATATCGTTTACGGCGCACTATTATATGTATTTCTTCATCAGATGAGTTTTCATTATCATCACCATAAAGAAATACATTTTCACATAATTCCATTTTCGATACCGTACGTAATATCCAAAATCACACAAGATTAATCAATGTATATGCACAAAACTTGGGATAGCATACCGCTCGCTGTGATTTTTAACTTCACTATGTACTTATCTGTCAGGTAAGTGGCTTACACGATACCCAAAGTATCGTGTTATTTACCTGTCAGTAATGACCATTTTACCAAGAACATAAATTTTACCGAAAAGTGGAACAACACTCTATCTATTAGATAAATTACCAGATAGTTTATCTGAGGGTGGAACAACCGGCCCTTAGCAGACAAACGGATGCGCAATCACAAGAACGAAAAAATTATAGATATATGTAAAATATAGATCATCACGATTATACGATCATATACGATAATTTCTATGCAAAAAAATAATATTAATATAACGTTTTTTCTCTCTCTTCCTTTTTTAATAAACGTTATTTATTTCCTTCGTCGTTCCTGGTACTTTCCTCATATCGTCAGCTACACAATTCAAAAGCTGATTTATCATTTGCTGCTTACAATCTCTAGGGGAAAACGTCAAAAACTGTGTTCTCAATTTTGCATGTTTCCACCATTGGCGTTTTTCCTTATTTTTAATATCGTGAACATCATACACATCTAGACGAATCAGCCGATGTCCAGTTTGCCCTCCCGGAGTTCCTACGGTGTAAAGACAACCATTGTCCAATTTTGTAACGTATTGGGATATTCCGTCAGTTTTCTGCTTCGAGATTGAAGCAAAAAGCGCATCCATACAACTACCACCACCACCACCTCTAGGTGTCAATTCTGGCGACGACGTGAAAATCTCGCAATCGACGATCGATGTATCAACAGACGTCGATGTTTGACGTCTAACAAACTCCTTAAGATCGTGCAATCATTCGAAGAAAGTATTTGTTGTCATGAAATCTTCCATAAACGCAGAACGCAAGTTTTTGCTCTTGGGGGTAGAGAAAAAATGATTCAACTCTTCCATAGAATAAATAGAATTCAACATACCCTTCTTCTTCAGCACTTCCAAAAAAGACATTAACGCATCCTTCATCGTCTTTGCCTCCCTCATACGTATCGTGTTCGGGTCTATTTTTCGCTGATTCAACATATCTGTATACATCCAATCATCATTCTCAGATTTTTGATAAAGAAAGTATTCGTAATCCATGTCTGATATATTAGATCGATTAAAGAACCCATATATGTTTCGCCCAATGTATCTTCCTCCTCGTTTAATAGTTGTTCGGCAAAGTTCTCGGAAGATTTCGTCGGTTGATTTAAGGGGATGCTGGAGTCTCCTTTTT